TTCAAAGAGTAGTGACCCAACATTGCTGGGAATGAAACTTACAGTGTGGGTTGGAGTTCTCCTTATGGGGTTTCGGTAAAGGTTTCTCCGACCCACTTCTTCATCGCCAGTGGGGAAAGGCAGGTATTGACTATAATCTTTAACGCAACAGGGAATAGTTCAGTTGCTAGCTTTGGAAGGATTGGACTTTTCGGGAAGCAAGGACATATTATCAACCTTCCGTTGTCAGTCATAGTAAAAATCTCATATAATAGCACTTCCAGCTGAGGACTGATAAACTAGTATATCATTTTTTGTTTTCTGGGTTGGCCCTAGTTTGCGTTTTTTTCGTTTGTTTACTATATCTTCTCGACCCGGTTTGCAAGATTTGTTAACCCATTTTTTCATTCATTGCGTTGTAAATGTATAAAAATCGGTCATGTAGATACCATAATTGATTAATAACTACATTTGATCTTTCCTTTGCTATCTTTCTATTTGGTTTCAGTTTTCTTGGAGCTGTTTTTGGTAATATTTGCAGAAAATGAGATTGTAAATTCTTGAGAGAGGTTATTTATAGAGTTGGTTATTGTAGTTCTCTAAGAATTTGTATAACTAATATGATCTGTAAACAATTTCAAATCTGGGAAGGTTGGATGAGGAAATTTTGGGGTTGGGAAGTGAAAACTACTGGTGAAACTCCACAAAGGGAACAGAATGGGGCTAGCAGCTGGTGTTAAAAGGTATTGGAGCCATGAATCAGAGGGGTTTAAGATGTGTGTAGAGCCGAATAGAAAAGAAGCCGAGACACGAGCTAGAAGGTTAAGACCTGTATCGAATTTTTGGTTTGACATAACTATTCTGTTCATAGTACTTCGACATCAATAATAACACAACAAAATATAACTTCGAAACTAGGATACACGAGATAATAGTTCAGTTTGAACTCGTAACATTTTACAAAAAGAGGGGATATACCGTTTATCAACAAGATAACACAACCTCTAAAAGAGAACATACGAGAGTATGCGAGAGCAGAATCTCTAAACAAGGATACACAGAATCTCTAAACAAGGATAAATAAATACTGAGAGATCAATTCCATTAAAATTTACAAAAACTTATAAATCTGAGGACTATATCCACATTCAATGGTGAAGATTTGATTAATTTGGTGAATTTCTCCACTAGTTTCCACTAACAAAAATATAAAACTTCAAAGCTAAATTGACATCAACAAGAAAAAATACTTTGGAAAAAGGAAAACAAATCACTAATCTTTCATGTTTTCTAATTTAACTAAACTAATAAGTATGTATATATATATACACAGATTGATTACAGGTGGTGATCAGAAGTTCCATGAAAGTTCAACCCTTTAGAGCTCGCCAACCATCAAGCATATACACCACAAATCCACATAGTTCACACCTGAAAACTAATAATATCCGTATACATGTTTATGTATATATAAATATATATAACCCAAATAAGCACTTGTAAAATGACTACCGACCATATTATCTCCATGGCCTCCTCTGTTCCTCTTCTTGTTCACGTGATCTTAGCTCCGATGGCTCTGCAGCCACAATACTCACCATCTTCGTCAACTTCCAGAAACGCAGAAAATCCGATGAATCATTTCAAGAGCCGATACCGTGGAGCCGCAGCAGCCATGGAAACAGGGGTGTTGCAGAGTTTAAAAAGGCATCGTTTGCCTTATTATTTTTCCTAGATGGCCGCGATTTCCTCTATGTCCATTTAACCTTGACGTCTCTTCACTACTCCTTTCACTTCTGCCGCCGGGATCTAAAATCTCCGCCGCGCTTAGCTTCTTTTCCGGCTAAAGGAAATATTCATGGAGCTCCGTCGTAGTAATTGGTGGCAAAAGAAAAATAAAATCTGTTTACGTAATCTTATATTTCTCCTCTGAGAAACTAAGAACATGTACAAGAATCAAGTTCTACTAAATGAGAAATGGTTCATTTGCTTTTACAATTAGTATCATGAAATATATTATATATTTACAAGCATATATATAAACGAAAGAACAAATACAGAAGTCTACTTATTAAAATTTTAAGGAAAATATTTACAGAGGTTATAAGCTGTATAAACTTTTTGCAATTTCATTTTAAAAAACTTGTTTGATTGTAGAGTGATTTCAGTCAACTTCTGTAAATTAATGATTTGATTAGTTAATTTATAGATAATTAATTTTTATTAGCATGTTAAATATTTGGAGACCATGAAGAAATCTTACTCAACATTACGCACGTAAGAAAAGAAATCATATCTATATATATATATATATATATATATATATGTGGCAAGTTAAACGAGGATACAGACATGCATTCACGTACGAGAAAGTAAAAACACAGAAAACTACAATATCAATCCATTATCCCATTGCATGATCTCCCTTACTGCAAGTTGAAGTTGACAAAAGTTGGCCACTTAAGGAAAGGAAACAAACCACAGAGAGAAGAGATTTCAGGGTGTGATTATAGTACTTATATATATATATATAGATATATAGGCGTAGGAGGCTGAGGAGATAAGTGATTGGTTATGCTGAAGGAGGGTTAAGAAAAGGAGAGGGAGGAAAAGGGAAAGGAGGACGAGGAATTTCAGGAAGAGAAGGAGGGTTAAGATAAGTGATTATAGTACTTATATATATATATATATAGATATATAGGTGGCTGAGGAGATAAGTGATTGGTTAGGCTGGAGGAGGGTTAAGAAAAGGAAAGGGAGGAAAAGGGAAAGGAGGAAGGGGAAAGTCAGGAAAAGGAAACGGAGGAGGACGGAAAGGGAAAGGAGGTAATGGAATTTGAGGTGGAAAAGGAAAGTTTGGAAGTGGAGGCAAATTCTTCATCTCCTTCATCCCATCATCACCACCACCACCATCTCCATTAATATTATAAACCCTACTTTCCTTCTCCACAATTTTCTCATCCAGTCGTCGAGCTGCATCAACTCCTGGCACAGCAACCCAGATCGAACTCAACACGAAGACCATCATGATCATCATCACCGGTGGTTTTTGGAAACTACCCATGTTGACAAAGATTGGTTTTTACAGAAAAACCTAAAGAAACAAGGTCCAGAATGAATACAACTCAACCTCACTGCTATATATATATAGATATATATGAATAGATAGAGATGAGTGATAATAAATGATGACGAGAGGTGTGTAAATGCATATAGGGCACAGATATGCATGCATGCATGCATTGCATGCACACACATATCGAAGAGCTGTCTTGAAACTCAAAGAATCTTGATGGCTGTGCCAAGAATGGTAGAGGATCTTGTAAGAGGAAGAAGATTAATTTGTTATGCTGTGGGCTTGATTAATATTCATATACATCATAATTAATTAAAGACTATTACCTCATGCATGGTGATTGAAATGAGTGCCCTACATATATATATATATATATATATATATATCCTCTTTTTACGCCACGATCCCCTTTCATATATATATATATATTGTATTTGTGGGTGTAAGAGTTTCTTCTCCTGTTAAAAAGAAGTTCACAATTAAATCTACTTATATAAGAATAATTATATATAATATAATTCTATTATATCACCCGGCAAACTTTGCAGTATTAAAAAATGTAAAATAATAATTTAGTATATTTTAACATATAATTTAATAAAAAACTTATAATAAAATAATCTTAATGAAATTTAATGTCGGACCACATTCTTATTTATATACTCCTATAAATATAACTTAATTTATTCATGTTCACAATCGAATGTATGTTATATACGCGACTTTTTCAGTAATAAAATTTATTTGCTCGTGTTCTTCCCTTAAGAACAACACTCTTTGTTTTTGGTTCATTTTAGTTTACTCGATTTTGTTATTGAAAGATTAGTTGCGTCTGATGAATTCATACATAATCAATTCTTTTAATGTATTATATATATTATTAAACTATGTAATATATAATTATTAATCATAACATAATAAAAATAATATTAAATGATGATATATACGGCAATACAGTATATATTTAACTAACAACGATCAGTCAAATAGGACGAACTTCGTTGAAATATCGAATCTTGAGTAGAATATTTATCAAAAGATAATCTTAATAACTTTCTTCAAGTATATTGCAAGAAAATTGTGTTTATGGGTATTGTTAAGCATACCCCGCACATTCAAATCGTGATCTTTAATAAACCTATTTCTACTGAGTCACGGAATACTATAATTACAACTTATAAGAGGGCTAAAAAATGAATTATTATAGAGTAACCCAACGAAGAAGCTGAAGAAATAGATGGGTCGTAGTTTTTTTTAATATTTGTCTATTATTCGATTCGTTTTCTTACAATTTACACTCGTATACGTATTTGATAGTGTAAAGAATACTCGATATGATATTAGGATAATAGTTTTCTCGTGCAAAACTATAATGTTTTGATGAGGATAAGAATGCATCGTACAATGTATTTTTAATCCCGAGATTTAAGTAAATAGTAGTATTTATAAATATAAATTTTGATTTAACGAATTACTATTAATATTTTAAATAAATAAAGTTAATACCTATTTTATGTATGAATTTTTTTTTTAAATTCCTATTTTTAAAATTATATATATTAGTTATCAAAGAAAGTAGAAATAATAATAAAATATACAATTTGACATTATAATTATATATATTAGTTAGAAATTTTTTTTAAAAAATATTATTATTATTATTATTATTTTTTAGAAAATTATTTTATTTATATTTTAATCATTATACAAATATACAATTCGACATATTTTGATGAATATAGAAAATTAAGAAAAATATAATTAGATATGAATTATAGAAAATCAAAATTATATCTATCCATGTATATATATATATATATATATATATATATATGTATCTGGTAGCCAACAGAAATGCTGAAACGGAGCGTATCTAACAGCGAAGAGAGCTAATATCCCGAATCTAAATGCTATAAAACCGGTGCGTTTTAGTCCAGCAGGACCAGGGAAGCCCCAAGACTCAACCAGACTACGAGCAATTCAGCTATGTCTTCCGATCCCGACAAGTTGATGACCAAAGCCGATAAGCTGTACGAGTTCTCTCATCTTCTCCATCTCTTTGTGTAAATCTATATGCATATGCGTATGTATGTCTCTGCAGAATTGAGTTGTAGTAGAGATCCAAATTTTCCCGCTTGATTGGAGGATCTTCGTGTTGATGTTCATGGACTTTCTCAACTTCGCTTGCAAGGAACTGCAAAAGTCATCTAAACATTAAATGTTAACTGAATCAATATTTTATTTGCTTTGCGATTGTGATTATTTTAGTATTAGAAGAATTATTTGGCTTTTCTACTTCTGTTCTGAAGTTAATTCTTGGAGTTTATATTCTCATATCTCTCTCTCTGTATGTATACGCGAGTTGAATGTTTGTGTGTGTGTGTATGTAGTTATTTTCCTTGAATTTGGTAACAATTGACGTAATTGGTTTTGGTAGAAAGAACATAGAGTAGAAATGAAGAGAAAACAAAGAATTTTGAATTTCGTTGCAAATCCTGGATTTCAACTACTCTTGACCAGCGGAAGAAATTAGGGAATGGAAATGAGGAAGAAAGAACAGTACGGTGTTACTCCTAAAAGCATATTATGTGCCTATATGAATGTTTTACCATTCGCAAGGATTCTATCTTCATCATCTATAAATGTTTTAGTATGTTAAAAATGTTTTAGAACTCTAGCAAGCAAAAAGTTTTTGTTGGTGTTTAGGGTTTTTTCTGTAGAAAAGTGTATATGAGATTGATTGGATTTGATTTATTTTAGAGTGGCTAAAGTAATTATATTTTGAGTTATAGATGAACTGTTTGTGATCTATGAAATCCACATGGTTCTGCAAATTCCTCATGTTAATCTGCATTGAATCTTCACTTTTGATTTCATCTATTTTAACACGAGATATGTGCTTGATGGCTTAGGTGTATCACTGATTTTAGGTATTGTTGTAGGTAAGATATCTATCAGTAGATACCAGCTGAGAATCTGATGCCACAATAACCTTTGAAACATAACCGCTTGCAGCAATACTAAGAAAAATCCTATGCTTTTGACCTATTAATATAGTTTGCTGATAGGTTTTCCAAATGTTCGTCTTTGTAACTTTCCCCACCATGTGCAGTATAATCTTCACCATTTAGATCAATCAGCAATGAAGAGGCATATCCCGTTTCAGCTTAATATAGCTGTCATGGAATAAGTTAACTATGTTTTAAATGCTTAAACTTAAATATCACATTTAGTTGCTTTAACTTTTCTATTTGTGGGCTATGTTTGAAATATCTGATGGAAAGAATTTTTTCTTTTTTTTGAAATAAGGAAAGAATTTTATCTTTCTTAAGTGATAAAAAGGGTGATTCTGTTATTGTTTCGAAGATAATGAGAGTTACTTCCATATTTCTTCTTCTATGTTGTAGTTTTTGTGCGTAGAGGCAGACTAAATCCATGTAAAGTTATTTTTGGTGCTTGCTTGGGTGATAGTGGAAGAATTGACACTTGATGCAGCAACCTCGAATGAGTTGCCTATGGATCATTTATTTTCTTTCTCAAGAACATAAAATAAAAGTTTCATGATTGTCTGCTAATGTGAATGACGGATACATTAGCTTGTTTAGTAAATGGCAATCATTTGAAGAGAATGGGAAGTGTTTTTTCTATCTTCACATGTGATAAGCATTAATATGCCATTTAAGCAAAGCTTGTGTAGGTAAATGCCATTTTAGAGATTTTCAAGAAGACAGCCAACCATGGTTGTGAGATTCACTGTTGGTTTAGGAAGCAACAAACACTTTCTTTTGATATCCTTTCATGGGAAAGTAAAACTTTTCTGTTTTTTAGTTTCTAATAACTAACTTTACTGCTTCCTATTCCTTCAAATTGTTGACCAGTTTTCCTTTTATTTTGTAGAACAAAACTGAGTCTTACAAGGTGGAGTGCTGATTGGAAGACTGCTACTGTTTTATATGAACAAGCTGGTTGGTAAATTTTCAATTGAGACTGTGCTTTGGTTTTTCATTTTTACATATAACATGTGCATTTTCAATTTAGAATGAACAAGAAAGTTGAGCATGATATGATAGGAGAAAGTTAATAAATACTATCTCTAAGGCTTTTTCTTTTTTTTTTTCCTTCCCTTTTGTTGTTTTGAATACTAGCTAATGGATTTAGAGTCTCCAAAACCTATGAGAAAGCAAAAGTGGCTTTTGAGAAGGCCTCAAAAGGACAAGAGATGCTCTCTTCGTATCCTCAGTTCCTATAAATTACATTGTTAATCTTGGTTATTGTTGATTTCACGTTCTGGATGTATACGTTTCACTCTTGTGGTATCCTTAACGTCAACTGAGCCCCTGGGATGCTGCTAAGCACATGGAGTCTGCTGCTGCTCTAGCAAAAGAGCTAGGCAACTGGAGTGAAGTTGCTGACTTTTATAGAAGGGCTTCTGAGTTATATATTGAATGTGGGAGATCACAGCCTGCATCAGATGCTCTTGCAAAGGGTGCCCGGTAAATACATTTTTTATGCTCTCAAGGTGGTTTTTTCGTTGTATTTAGTAGTGAGGAATGTCTTGACAATTGATATGTAGAATATGCATGCTCATGAGCTTTATTTTCTGTTTATGTGCATGCATTTGCATTTTTGCACACCTGTGCATGACTTTCGAGTGCATTTAATTTTGCACACCTGTATCGGGAATGCAGCTCTTAGAAACTTGTCTTGATCTTTTTTCTTAAGTTTCTCTTATACGTGAATTTTTTTTCCCCCATTGCCTTTAGCGCTCTGGAAGATGCTGTTCCTGATGCTGCAGTTCAACTTTATACTGATGCTTGTAATATTCTTGAAGAGGATGACAGGGACCAGATGGCCTTTGATCTATATCGAGCTGGTGCTAGTGTTTATATAAAGCTTGAGAAGTAAGGATAACTCTTTCAGTATTAGTGGAATATATCCATGCAAATTTTTCATTTGTGTGATTTAGATGATAAAAGTAATAACTCCATTGTTATCTGCTGCATATTTTGGACTTTGCAAACTAGAGAAAATCTAGTGTTCCCTGGGTTAATTTGTTTGTCAAATAGGCTGATTTTTCTCTATTTATATTTCATTTAGTGGGAAGTTTGAGAATTTTGAACGTGTATCTCAATGTAAAGCCAAACTGCACCTTAATATGAAACTTTTTAGCTGACTTGTCTTCACCTAAAAGATTGTTCTGGTAAACAGTTGAGGGAAACATAAATATACTTTAGTTTCTCATGTCATAATTGAGTTTATAATTTTTCATTCTGTATGAGTTATTCATATTGGATGATGAAATTAAGGTTTGTTGTGTATGGTTATAAAAATATTATCAAGGGAATAAGAAATGATTCTGTATGCATTCTATCATTTCAATTTTACTGGGTGAAATATATTTTCTGCTTTTTTTTTTTTCACCTGTAAAAATGTAACACACAGATACCCCTATGGATTCCCGACAGGATAGAAGGATTATTATAAAGCTGATTCAGCTTAGATTTTTAGTGTCACTTGAATGCTAAAACTTAGGTTTTTCCTGTCAATTCCATGTCAAGGTGTTTTATGCTTCAAAATGTTCTCTTGAAAGCAACGCACAGTTAACCCGTAGCACATGTTCTTTTAAATGAATATGAAGGATTTTCTAGTATGTAATATTTGTATGTTTGAAGATGCACAAAATTTCCAATCATGTAGAAGCTGAATCATGGATGAATCCCGTAGAATTGAATTTGTTTTTTAATATTTTAGATGTTGCTTCTGTTCTCCTTCTCATCTTGATAGATCTGTTTGTTATGCTATCGATGACGTTGATAGGATGAAGTTAAATTTTTATGTAGGGGGCTATTTTTGTTGGGTTGTGGGTGATTTGGCTGGAGAAATGCCAAGACTTTCAGAGATTTTGTCTCATGTTTCTCTTCTTTGGGATAAGATATCCTTTTCTTGGCCATTTCTTTGAATTAAGTCGAATTGGTATTTTAAGGTTATTTTCTTTGTTCATTTTCCAGAGATTGGCAAGCCATCATTTATTCAACTTGCAAGTTTTTCTCTCTCTTTCTTTTGGAATGATATTTGGTCCTCCGTGGTTGTACTCCTCCTTCTCTTTCCGGCAAAATTTATTTTTTAATATAAAATGGAGCAGCTTATCAATGCATGGATCTTGAAGCTTATAATAGGTTGTGATATTTTGATTTGTATGAGGTAAATTGGTTCTTAGAATCACTGCCAAATGCAGTAAGTGGGCATAAAAAATTACATTCAAATGCTAACTTGATATTTCGTGGCCTATGCTTGGTGGTTATTATAGAAGATGCTTTGCATATGGTATAAGTTAACTTGATATTTCACGGCTTATGCGTTGTGGTTATTACAGAAGATGCTTCACACATGATATAAGTTGAAACTCTGGTAGATTCTTTCTCTAGATTACTTGAAGTCTTCTCTGTGTATCTAAATTTTGTTAGTTCTTTGTATAAATGGTTTCATTACCTACAGGTATTCAGATGCTGCAGCATTGCTATTGAGACTGGGCTTAGCAGCTGACAAGTGCAATGCTACCAATAGTCAATTCAAGGTGTAAATATTGTGTTTTGATTTCAAATCTTTTATGACCCGATTCTTCTCAATGCAATACCTTTTCATTCTTCGCCAGTATCTTTTTATTCTACCGTAGACCAAGATACTTAAATTTTGATCCTCTTTGTCTTACTCGGTGCTAAAGAAAGTATCATGCACCTGAATTCTGAAAGCTATTGATCCATGTTTTGACTTTAGGGCGCTTAACTTTGGCATGCATATTTTATCATCTCTAAATGGGTTGCAGAGCCTGTATAATCTATTCGACTTTAGTATCCCTGACGATTCATTATTCGGTTTCAGGCTTATCTTAGTGCCATTATAGTATATCTTTATGCTCATGACTTGCAGCAGGCGGAAAAATGTTACAATGACTGTTCTCAGTAAGTACAGTTTCCTCAATTTAATTTTGGACAACAGTTACGTATTAGTATCTTCTGTCATTATTTTCTGATATTTAAGAGGATGTAAAACATTCCCAGGTACCTTCCATATTACACATACCCATGTTCTCAGGTTATATAAAATGTTTTCATGTTTTCTGAAAAGCTGAACACTACAAGAAATTATTTGGCCTTTCAATTTTGAGTTTTTGGTCTTTCCTTGAGCAAGTGCATCTAAACACGTTGAATAATTGCTCTTGTCACTTCTCAGGATCGATGCTTTCTTAGGTAGCGATCAGGGCCGCTGTGCTAGCAAGTTTCTTTCTGCTTATGCAGAAGGTGATGTTGAAGAAATCAAACATGTGGCTCAATCAAGCACCATTAAGAATCTAGAAAATGTGGTAAGTCCATCTAATTTGCTTGCACCTTTCTTGTTGGAAATGCATGCGCCTTACGTGAACATGTTCGAATGATTTGAAACTGAACTTGGATTTTCTGGTGTATACTTTGACGGATTTGTCCTTTCATGTCATGAATATGTGTTTCTGACACACCGAATTCTAAAATTGGCCAATACCATTAACTGGTGTTTCTCTCTCCCTCTTTTTCATAAAATCACAGACAAGAGTCAAGGACCTTTTGTTTTGTTTTTCAATTCAATTCTGATCTGCTTCAAATACCACATTATCGTAAATGAATGATATCAGATTTCGGAGCATGTTGTTTGATTCTTCTGTTAGTTTATCATAAACTCGAGCGAACTATAATCGCCACAGATCATCAAGCTGGCAAGGAAGCTACCTACTGGAGACGTGAGCGAGTTGAAGACTAATGCAGGTCAAGAAGAACAGTTGGATGAAAATGACCTTACATAAACTCATTTCTGTTTGTTTCATACATGGGTTTGTGATTATATATACACTTTGCTTGATTATTTGGTATTATATCAGCACTGTGTAATTGCTGCAATATTATTGAATGAAAAAAGAGTTGGTGTAAAATGGGATCGTGCTACTACTATTAAAATGGTCAATGTCATGGCTAAATAGATCTTGTACAACCAGGAGAGGAAATTATGTAAGTAATGATTATTTAAAATGTAATCTAAGAAGAAAATTTTTGTATTATTGAAATTCATATAGATATCCTCTGTTTCATATGCATTTGGAGGGAAAGTTCGTTATATTCTTTTTAGTCAGCAGTTGCAGAACTCTTCCACTTCTCTTCTCCCTCTTACCTGTATGTATATCTGTGTGTATATATATTTATATCTATATAAACAAGAAGCACCAATTTCCACATAAAAGAAACGAGGTAGAAGCCATCAAGAAAAGGGAACTCTTCCCTCTCTCTCTAATGGCCACCCACTCACCTCCTACTTTCTGTTCTCACACTCCTCCTCCTCCTCCCCATCACCGGCCCCACCTCCTGCTCCCTAGAAACCCCACGAGAACCAGAAGTAAGCAGCATCATCGACGCGCTTATCGGGACAGGAGATTTCAGAAGCTGGGCCAACATAATCTCTGTCATTGTATCTGGACCGTTCATCGCGATTTAATCTGGACCGTCCGTGCACGATTCAATTTGGGCCGTCCGTGCACGATCTCAATCTGGGCCGTCTGTGCGTGCAGAAACGGATCTTAGTCGTTCGATCGCACGCACGCGGATCGCCGACGTGGCTCCCCCTTGCGTGGCCTCCCGCGTCAACGCCTCTGCCACCTGCCTCGTCCTGGTCGGTCGAGACTGCTGACCGGGCATCTGATGCGGTGAATTTTTTTAAATTACGTTTTAACTTTCGATTTTTCTTTCAAAAATACCATCAGAATCCAAATTTTTACCAATTTTTTTCAAAATTATTTTCAATTTAACCCTTAACAAATTTTTACTCTATTTTTTTATTAAATTAAATAAATAAATAACTATAATAAAAAAACAAAAAAAAAATTAAAAAAAAAATTGTTGGGTGTTATAAATAGGCTGGATTTGTGACTATACTTACACTTTCTTCAAATTTTCTTTTTAATAAAATTTTAGCTGAGTTTGATGTCATGACTAAATAGGTTTTCTACAATTAGAAGAGGCAAGTAGTGTGTAAGTAATAATTATTTAAAAAGTAATATATATTGCCAATTATATGCCATCTATTTAGAGCTAATTAATTGCTAAGAATTTTCATGTAAGTGAGCATTTGAAATTCCTCAGTTCCTAATAAGATAAATTTCATATTATTGAAGTTAAATCTTAATTCACAAAATAAATTAAATTCATCATTAATTCGCAACTTATATATATATATATATATATATATATACATATATTGGTTTGAATTATCAAATTAGTTTTTAAAGTTTGACATTTTTTATAATTTGATTCTTAATTTTTTTTTCTGTTATAATTTGATTTTTAATGTTTTTTATTTGTTTTAAATATTTTATTTTATTTTATTTTTTAATGAAAAAGTTAAAATAGATGGGTAATGTTTAAATTCTTTAAAAATTAATTTAAAAACAATATTGATTTTCTGAGAACTAATTAATTAAATTAATGAATTAATATTTTTTGTTGACTAATTTATTAATTTAGATAATTATTTAAACTTATTTTTCTGAATTATTTTTTTAAAATATCCAAACATAGCCACATTATTTTAGTTCTTTTTTAAAATATATCTATCTCGTGTTGATCTGGACTGTCGATTGCGAATGATCTCGTCCGTCCGATCACGTATAAGAAGAAAATAAATTTTATTAAAAAATAAAAGAAAACTCGATGCTGAAGTAACCGAAAAATATTAATAATTAAATTTTATTTTTTTAAAAAAAATATTAGAGACTATATTATAATAAAATTAAAAATATTCAAGACAAATTTAATAATTTATTATTTCTTTACTTATAGTATATATATTTTTTTATTATATGAAGATTAATGTATGTACATTATTTTATTAAAATGAAAATAATTTTTATACTCCAAACATAAATAACAAAAAACAAAATTGAAAAGGAAAAATTAAAATTCCAAAAAATGAAAAGACCAAAATATCATCCAGAAAAATTTAAATTACATTCATGCCCTCGCTTTAATATGGATTTGGCGGGAAAAGTTCGTTGTATTCCTTTCAGTTCGCAGTTGCAGAACCCTTCCACTGCTCTCTCTCTCTCCCTCTCACTTCGTGTATGTATCTGCATATTTATATTTATATATATATATATATGTGTGTATATATACAGACAAGAAACGCCATTTTCCACATAAACATAAAGAAAAGGGAACTCTTCTCTCTCTCTCTAATGGCCACCACTCACCTCCTACTTTCTGTTCTCGTACTCCTCTTTCTCCTCCCCATCACCGGCGCCACCTCCTGCTCCCTATAAACCGCACGAGAACCAGAAGTAAGCAGCATCGTCGACGCTCTTATCGGGACAGGGGATTTCAGCAGCTGAGCCAACATAACCTCCGCCATCGACTTCGCCGATTTCCCCGTCTCGGCTACCCTCTTCGTCCCCTCCGACGACTCCCTCTCCGGCGCAATCCTTACCCCCGCCGCCGCCGCCGGCAACGGAATCTTAGATCCTTACACAATCCCTTACCACATCATCCCTAAACGTCTCACTTTCTCCAATCTCCGCCTCCTCAAACCCCTCCCTCGTCTTCCCACTCTCCTTCCCGCCATGTCGATCCTCCTCACCAACACTTCTATCTCAAATTTCACTCTCGACGACACACTCCTCTCCCGACCAGATCTTTACCTTTCTTCCTCGATTGCTCTCCACGGCATAGCTTCTCTGCCTGACTACTCCGTTTACGGAGCTGCTCGCGGTCGTGCTCCATTTACGTCATTGCCTCCGCCGTCGAGATGGGACTTCAGGGTAGCCGGTTCCTGTGGCCGGACCTCCGGAGGCGGATGTTTTTGCAGGGAGTTTGCTGTAGTTTTGAAATGGGTAACGATCTTTTGGTTTATCTGTTCTGTTGGGCAATGCTGTGATGATATGCAGATGATGATGACGACGATGAAGAGAGCGTTGAAATGGGTGATGGAATTCAGGGTGTTTTGTTGGTTGAATCAGTGTTTTCTGTTTGTGAATTGATAGATGAAGAAGAATTTTGCCTGTTCTTGTTTCATCTTCTTGCTCTTCAATTGGGTTCTTGAGAGCATATAATTTAGTTCAAAATAAGGAAAAATATTTGTTTTAAAGATCTTTTTTTTGTTTGTAGAAAATGTGTTATACATCGTAGGGAATTTACCCAATTTGCTAACTATATGCAGTTTATTCAATATGCAGTTTAAATAAGAGACAAAGGAATAAATGGAGAGCAATATGCAGCATCTGCCATTGGAAGCCTCTTACATTTTCATATTGCTAATCAACATGGTAGCTTCCTTACATTTCAATAGCACTCCTATAGATATATAAGAACAGTACAAAGATCAAAGCAGCATATCATTGGGAAGTTTCCCATATAACATTTCTCTATGAAAGTACACATTTCCTGATTTTCTCACCATCCTTTAACTCGGGCTTCCCATCTTGTTTCTATCAAAGAAATCTCTCCTAACATCATGTCATTTTCAATTGTGAACACCCTTCTGCACTGCACTAGATTCATTAAGGCCAACTCTTCTAAATTTCCTTTCCTGTCACGCCTGACCACTCTGCAGAAAAAAGAGTCTGCAGCCTGCACCATGGATCAGGAAATTTTCTTTCCTCCACTCATTTCGAGTGCCTCTCAAACTTTGATGACTGACTCCCCAGTCTCTGCACCGTGGATCAGAGTCTTTTATAGGATTCTCTGTATGGAAATTCATTTCATCATGTTATTCCTCACAATCATCACAAATTTCAGCTTGTGGAGCGCATAGAATTCTTGTTTGCTCTCTCAATTTCATCAAACTAGTCTTCCTGTTTGTTGTCACTATCTAACATATCGTCATCATTGAAATCGGTTTCATGTGGCCAATACCTAGCATCGTCGTGGTCCAGTGATTCTAAAACCTTGCCATGGTGCCCTGAGCTTCTTCTTTTATGCTGAGAATATCTTTTGCTGTTGCCGTCTCTATCTAACCACCCTTCAGTTTTATCACTCTCATCATTTCTCTTATTGCTGTTCCCAATAATCAGCTTGGGATCCCACCATGATCTTTTGTCTTGAGCTCCTCCACTTACTGCCATGGTGCTTTTCTACTTTTTTCTCACTTAGATGATCTCTGTCTGCTTCATGAGGTTTGCTGTCCTTATTTCCATCATCATGACCATGGTGGCTTTGACTATCAAAAATTCATGTCTGAACAATAGTCATCAGAATCAGCTCTGTGGATTTTCTTCTTGTCCCCACAATTTGTGTAGTAAGACCCTTAACTTGTGTATCTCAAGCTTCCATTCAAATGGCCATGTTCTCTATCCTTTATCCTGATCTCTTGTTGCATCCCTGTCTGACCACCTATCATCAGAACTGCTATCATGGCCTCTGCTCCCACTGCAATCTTTTTCTTTTAAAGAGAAATTTTCACCACTCATTTACCATGTATAGCTTTTCATTCATAAAAAATATGTACCAAGTGTGTGATTGTAGAACATCAAACATTTTAAATTAAAGAAACATGTTCTGATATTGTTTGAACAAAAGAAAAGATTTACTTTCCTTTGAACAAATAAAAACTACGAAATTTAATATCTGTGATTTTCTTTTTAAATCATTAAATTTGGACTGAAATACAAAACACATTTTCTACAAAGAAAATCTTTCTTTGGTGTCAAGAACAAAGAGTATATGGTGTCAAGAACCCAGTTGAAGAGCAAGAAGAAGAAAAAGAACAGCCAAATTCTTCTTCACCTGTCAATTGACAAACAGAAAACACTGATTCAATCAAGAAAACACACTGAATTTCGTCAACCCATTTCAAGACTTTCCCAATCGTTGTCATCATCATCTGCATATCATCGCACAGCATTACACAACAGAACAGATAAGAGAAAACAAAAAGATCATTACCCATTTCAGATCTACAGAAAACTTCCTGCTCAAGAAAACGCCGCCGGACATCCGGCCACCGGCATCGACCGCTCTGAAATCCCACGGAGATGACCGGAAAGGAGCACCACCGTGAGCAAGCAACACCATAAAGAGAGTAGTCAGAGGAGAGAAACGACGCCGTAGAGAGCAACGGAGCAAGAAAGTTAAAGATCTTGCTGGGAAAGAAGCGTGTTGTCAAGAAGGAAACAGGAGGTAGAAGTGTTGACGAGGAGGATTAACATGGCGGGAAAGAGAGCGGGGAGACGAGAAACGGGGTTGAGGAGGCGAAGATCGATCGGAGAAAGAGAAAAGTTTAGAGACGTTATGGTAAGGGATTGTGTAAGGATCCAGGATTCAGTCGCCGGCGGCGGTGGTGGTGGTAAGGATTCCGCCGGGGAGAGAGTCGTCGGAGGGAACGAAGAAGGTGGGAGAGACGGCGAAATCGGAAAAGTCGACGGCGGAGATTATGTTGATCGAGCCTCTGAGATCCAGGGTCCCGATAAGAGCGAGTAAATGATGCGATTTACTTGTGGATATAGTGGGGTTTCCATGGTGAGGAGGAGGAGGAGGAGAAGAAGGAGAGAAAGTTGGCGGTGGTGAGTGGTGGCCATTAAAGAGAAAAAGAAGAATTCCCTTTTTCTTGATTTCTTCTTGTGTTTCTTTGTTTATGTAGATACATACATATATATACACACGAAGAGAGAGAAAGAGAAAAAGAAGACGAAGAAGGTGAGGAGAAGGATGAGAGAAAGAGAAAAAGAAGAATTCCCTTTTCTTGATTTCTTCTTCCTGGTTTTCCTAGAGAAAAAGAGAAAAGATGGTGTTGCTCTGTTTATATAGATACATACATATATATATATATATATACACGTACACACACGAAGAGAGAGAAGAGAAGTGGAAGATTCCTGTAACAGCCAACTGAAAAGAATACAACGTGCGTTTCCCGCAAAATCCATATAAAACGGATGGCATAAATGTAATATTCTACCTTTTCTGGATGACACACACACACACACACACACATATATATATATACATTTCGTTTGGGAGCACATTCAAGAATCAACCTTAAAATTGGGCATGATCCCATTTTACACCAACTCTTTTTTCATTCAATAATATTGCAGCAATTACACAGTGCTGATATAATACCAAATAATCAAGCAGAGTGTATATATAATCACAAACCCATGTATGAAACAAACAAAGTGAAGACAGAAATGAGTTTATGTAAGGTCATTTTCATCCAACTGTTCTTCTTGATGATCTGCGGCGATTATGGTTCGCTCGAGTTTATGATAAACTAACAGAAGAATCAAAAAACATGCTCCGAAATCTGATATCATTAGTCTACGATAATGTCGCACTTGAAGCAGACTTAAAAACCAAAATAAAAGGTCTTTGATTCTTGTCTGTGATTTTATGAAAAACAGGGAGACATATTAATTCACAGAATCAAACAACACACCTTGTTTCTCGCTTAGCAGACCTCAGAGGAGTTCACCCAAAGCTTCGATCGATCACTTTTTGTTTAACAGTGAGTACGAGTATGAAAAACCGAAGAGAATTTAAACTAGCTCCATGTAACTTCCAAAGCTGTCTTCCGAAATTAGCTTAAGAAGTTTAACATCTCTATCGGACACAGTAGAGGAAGACAAATTATGTAATTTACAACTTCGCTGAAGAACAATTTGGTAATATGAGATATACATCAATTGCTATATTACAGGGGATGGAATGTGCCATTTTTTTGAAAATTCTGTCAACAAAAACTAAAAGAAAATCGTTACCTCAGAAAGTTTTAGACAATCCAAAATAAAATCCATATTTATATCACGCCTGACTAAAGGATTCTACTTCAGGTGATGTTTCTCTTATTTCTTTTTGTATACCGGGTACTCTGCAGAAAAAGAAGCTCCCTCCGCTCGTTTCAAGTGCCTCTCAAACTCTGACGACTGACTTACCAGTCTGCACCGTGGATCAGAGTCTTTAATAGAATTCTCTGTAGGGAAATTTATTTCATAATGTTATTCCTCGCAATCGTCACAAATTTAAGCTTGTGGTGCATATAGATTTCTTGTTTGCTCGCTCACATTCATCAAACTAGTATTCCAAAAAAGGTTGCAGAAGTGAGATCCTTCTAAGAATTTTCAGATTTCTAATAACCCCACCTGTCAATGTTTTCTGATGAGTTGCAGTTGACTTCACCATCTGATTTATTATATTTATATCGCCCCGAAATTCTGTGCTCATGGCTTTCCTTTGATTTTGAAATTTCATCACGTGAATCTGCTTTACCAATCTCCAAGCTTGAACGATCCTTCCTACTTGAATGCCTGTGCCTGTGGGCTTTTTTTGGTTCGGGTTTTACTTCTAAATCAATTGCTTTCCCTTGATTATCTGAATATTTCTCATCTTCATTCAAGTGTCTTGAGTGTTTCCTTTTATGAGGACTATTTTTTCTCTTGTAGTTGTCACTATCTAACATATCATCATCATTGGAATCAGTTTCATGAGGTGAATACCTATCATCATCGTGGTCAAGTGATTCTAAAACCTTGCCATGGTGCCCCGAGCTTCTTCTTTTATGCTGATGATGTCTTTTGTTGTTGGTGTCTCTATCTAACCACTCTTCAGTTTTATCACTTTCATCTTTTCTCTTTTTGCTGTCCCGTGATCAGCTCGGGATCCCACGCTGATCTCTT